AGACCCATATCGTCCTTCCCAATTCTTCTGCGCTTCTTCGCAGACTTCTTGAATTGAAGCACAAACGATTATCAATACAAATAAATTGGCCGAAGGGAATAACAAAACAAATATCTATGACCAGGAAAATTATTACGTCTGGTGTTCGGATTTGTCCGGACACCAATCCAGACTTGTCACGTCATCCAGATACATCCGGGACCTAATGTATGCCGGTGACGTGACGGGTATGGATTGATGTCAGGACCTAATAATTCGCCCTAGAAACGGGCTAAAAAAAAAAACTGTTCGCGGTTGTAAATGTCTCCCCCGGCAGCCCTAGAAGAAGATAACGTGCAGGAAGCTGCACATTACCATGCACTTGCCGACACAAAGAAGGAAAGAAAGATGAAGCCACCAATTCCTTCCTCTTCTTACAGAAATCTCCACCGCCGCCTGTATTCACGGTCGAAACCCTCGTTCTTTTCCATCGCCCACTCCCACCCTTCTTCTTCACTTTTCTTTCTCTTCCCAGTCCTCCGAATCGACCTCCTTTCCTGTCTCCCCTCCACAGAATTCCAATCACCGTCAGGTTTTTCAATCTCCTGATTAGAATCCGGCGAATCATGATGAAAATAATCGAACTCCGAATCAATCATCGTGCATCTTCTCAGGCCCTTGGAACGGGGCCGCAATTCGAAATCCTTGCTTGCTTCCGCCAACGCCGACATTGTATTCTATGGGGTGTTTGGATCCAGGATTTAGGTTGGATTTGAGGCAGATTTGAGCTAAATCCAGCCAAACAACAAAAAAATTTATAATCACAAATAAAAAATTTTTGTTTTAGGTATCTCCATAAACCATCCTATAGAACTGAAAAGGCAGAACTGCAGAAGGGAAGTAAGATATGTATCATATGTTAATGATACCTCTTGTTTGTCTTCCTTTCATGGGCAGAGCTAGAATTTTTTTTATGTGAGGGCAAAAATTATAGAAATAAAAATTATCGAATTTCTATGATGTGTTTGAATGTTAAATCAAAAACTTCTGTGATCATGGATCATCAAGCAAAAGCACCTTATTCAAGAGAAAATTTCATCAGTTTTATCAAGATAAATCTGCTTCTGCTTCCTTTGCTTGTGCTGTTTGGGAAGCAAAATGAAGTCCCCAGTTAAGTGCAAGCATTCCCTTACATTCTCAGGAGAGACAAAATCAAGGGCAACCTTTGTGCAAGACTGTAAGAAATACGCCTGAAATTAACAAGAAATATGCATGCAGAAACAATGCATAAGTGCCTAAGTTGATCTTTGAAAACTGAATATGGAATCAAAATACTTAAGGTTGTGCATTTGGAGGGGACAGCCCACAGGGATGAACAATACATAAGTGCCTAAGTTAATTAGGCATTATGCTGATACTTAAACAGCAACAATGTAGTATTCGAACTGGACAAAAAAATTAAACAAAAACACTCTCTTGATCGTCATTTCCCTGTGCGAAATTAACTTCCCATTTGAAAAGTCTATGAGATGGCTTACAGTTCTTCAGCAACTAAACAATTATAATATACACCAAGCACTATAAATTTTCACTCAGAAGTCTCCTCCCCCAGCAAAGATGCAAAGCCGCAGACATGCAAAGAATATTAGCCATTTTAATCCATGAAACATACATATGATCACATTCTTTTCTAAAAAAGTTTACAAAGCAAGTAATTCTTTATCCACGGAAGTGATTTTTGTAGGGGTGTCAATTCGGGTCAACAGATCGGATTCGGGTCGATGAGCAGCGGACATGTTGATGTGTACGACTGGCCAGGCGACATCCAGTCCAAATGTCCAATCCCTCTAACAAGGCAATGTCCAATCCCTGGATTTTGGATTCCCTGTTTTCCTCCAAGTCCCACATTAGAAAAATAAAAAATGGGCGACCCATTTTTCAAACGGGACGAAAGTTGAGATCCGAACCTGACCTGTTTGTTAAACGGGTTCACCCTAACCCAAATTTTTGGTATAAGATTCGGGTCGAGTTTTTAGGTCGTGTCAATAATTGACACCCCTATATTCTTGTTAAAGTTAATGCAGAAACACAGAATAACAAATCCCTGATCAGTAACTTCTCATTTTAATAAGGTAAATAGGAGATATATGTTAGGATATCTCCTAGTATGTGCATATGAAGGTTCTTTCAATTATTTTGCTGTAGCTGATAAAGAGAAACAAATTTTCCCTATTGAATATGTTTCTTCTTTTTAAAATCCTAAAGATGCCGATTGAAACTAATAAATAGAACTGTTAAAGATTAATAAAACTGACGCGGACATCAAACTCAACGCCAGGAACAAAAATCCAAGATTGATTTTAAGGAAATTATAACTACAGGTGTTCTTTGATTACTTCCTGAATTACTTCTCAATGATAGGCATCGCAACTGAACTAGGAGAAATAGGAAGGTCCATGAAATTTTAAAGGAAATTCAAACATCCCGAACATGCCTACAGTATTGAAGATGGTAAACAGTCCTAAAAATGTGCTAATGTAGGCCAATCCTCCAGTTCTAGCATTTCTGGTTAGGAATTGTCATATATTCATCCTTCAAAGTAGCTCTCAAAAAACTCGTCACACTTAGACTTCGTTTGGGACAACTTTCTTATTGTTTTTTAAAAGTAGCTTTCAAGTACAAAAATTTCTAGTTTAGATTTTTTTTGTACTAAAAGCCGTTTTAAATGACAATAAAAAAGCTGTCCCAAATGAAACTTTAATCTCTACTTGAAGTAAGGAGATCAGCTTAGTCAAAATAACATTATCGCCATTACCAGCTATTTTAAGTATATTGAACTAACATAAATTGAATAATTGCATTGTGAAGCACAAATTCAAAGTTGTAGGAGATAAAAGCATTAATAGAACAAAAAATACTGGTTTTAAAGGGCTTACCTAGCAAAAAGCTAGACAATCAATAGTCTGAAGTTGAATTGATTCAGAACTAATCTTGCTTTTGCATATATTCTGCCACATAGCCTTTGTCTCCCAGCTTAATTGTGAATTCTCATCAAGAACCCCACGCACAACCACTGGTTCACCATTAGCCCAGTGCCTTTGGAAATGCTTGAATTCAAGTTTATCAATGCAACTTGAATGTGGACAATATAAAATGTTGTCTGTAGAATCTTACCTGGAAGCTGCTTTTCTAGAATTTTTACTTGTGCCAGAGAATTACAATGAACGTCAGGGCCAAACAATCTGAACGAATACATTCCCAAAAATAACAATTGGACTCAAACCATCACCTAGTTGTCAGGCTTGGGCCATCCAAAAAGGAAAAGAGGGTAACAGCCGAAATTCCAAATACTTCAAGTCCTCAAAATTCAAAATCCACGAAATCAGATAGAGAAAAAATCACCTAGGTTGCCAACCAAGTCATGGCCGTCCGAGGTGCGTGTAGGAAACCTGCTTCATCATTATCCTAACTCAAATCCATCACAGAAATCTGCTTCATCTTTGCAACAAGTAATGCACGATTCGAATTCACAACTAGGGAAGCTTCTATGAAGATCCACAATAGATGTTTTACAATAGTCGCTACACTAAAAATACAAAAAACTTTAGACGTAATAGGATTTAATTAGATACAAAACTTGATGAAGGATTTTTACTACCAAAATGCTCTCTCATCTTTTTCACAAGTGGACTTCTCTATCCTCAACTCACATAATTTCAGACCTATAAATAATAATCAAAATTTAGAAAGAATAATCTTAGTAAATTCTATTCATTTTATAAACATTTTCTATTGAAAATCAATACAATGCAGAACCTTTCATGTCTGACTCTTTTTTCTTTTCAGCGGCTTGCTCGTGATTCAGTTGTTTCGAAGAAGGAAGCAAAAGACTAAGCACACCACAATTGTTTTCAACTTTATGAAGCTTATCATCTGTGCAAGGAGTCTAAAAATGAACCAGAAGTAAGCACATAAACATTGTTTAATTGAACTTGTAGATCATTTATTGAAACGTCTAATTACTTGTTAATATCAATATAATTTTGATTTTACAATGAGCATATGTGCAAAATCATATTTCTTGATCATATCAAATGTACAAGTGATCTGCATGCCAATATCCCAACCTTTTTGTTGTATACAATCTAGATTAGTAAAGCCATATGAAGCTCATATTGATCTGTTGGTTGGGAGCTTTGACTATCAATCAAGAGATCTTGGGTTCAAAGATTAGTAAAGTCATATGATGAGATTTGATGACAAAATTAATAAATACAATGGCCGCTGATTTCAAGAATTTGTTTGCTTTGTCTTATTGTAGCCGTATGCCTAGGGTTTGCTTTTCCTATTCTCTAGCGGTTCAAACCTGTTCGACTTCGGCTGCTATGCACGTGAGGAAAAGTTTGCTAAAAATATATTAAATCTTGGGAGGGTTAAATCCCAAAAATAGTTTGGTAAAAAATATATTAAATCTTGACAAATTCTGTGAGTGTTTGACAACTATTCAGGATTTAAGGCGGTTAACTCATATGACATTTGTATGTTTAAATATGAGTTATTTATTAATTCTAATTTTAATTAACACCAATAAATTATAATTACAAATACTATAATGAGGTTGTTATTTTAATAAGTATTTTACTAATAATTTATTTAGCTATATTTTAATAAGTATTGTAATGCTAACTATAATGATAACTATCTAATTAATTATCTAATTATAATTTAAAATAATTAATAATTTAATTACTATTTTTACTAATTATTTCTTTAATTTTTATATATTATTTTAATAAAAAAAATTACTAATAATACTTATAATTAACGAATAAATAAATTAAATATTCTATTACTAACTAATTATTTATTTAATATTTGCACTATTAATCACCTAATTAAGTATTTATTTATATTTTAAATTATAATAATTAATCTAATTAAATTAATGTCTAATTTTCCCAAAAAAAGAAATGTCTAATTAAAAAATTAAAAGAATAAATCTAATCCTCATACGGGCGGGCTTTTCGGTTCCTTCGCAGCCGTTCGCTTGAGAGGTAGAGCTTCTTCTTCCGTTGGTTCGCGTTCGGCTTCTTTGGTTCGCGTGTGATAGATCTTCGAGCGAGTCAATTGCCATTGCTTGTCTAGGGTTTGCTTTTCCTCTTCTGCATTTATTCGTTGCGGTTCTGCTAACGATTCTTTTTCCCTCGTGCGAAGCGTTAAATTCGCCGAATCGAAGGATTTCGTAAATCCGGGATTTACTACGAAGATTTACCGTGAGATTTAGTTTTAAATTTTTTGTGGTTTGGCTGGATTTAGCTCAAATCTGCCCCAAATCCAACCTAAATCCTGGATCCAAACAGCCCTTAGGATACAATGTCGGCGTTGGCGGAAGCAAGCAAGGATTTCGAAGTGCGGTCCCGTTCCAAACGCCTTAGAAGATCCACGATGATTGATTCGGAGTTCGATTATTATCATCATGATTCGCCTGATTCTAATCAGGAGATTGAAAAACCTGACGGTGATTGGAATTCTGTGGAGGGGAGACGGGAAAGGAGGTCGATTCGGAGGACTGGGAAGAGAAAGAAAAGTGAAGAAGAAGAGATGGAGAAGAAGGGTGGGAGGGGGCGATGGAAAAGAACGAGGGTTTCGACGGTGCATAGAGGCGGCGGTAGAGATTTCTCTAAGAAGAGGAAGGAATTGGTGGCTTCATCTTTCTTTCCTTCTTTGTGTCGGCAGGTGCATAGCAATGTGCTGTCTTCTTGCACGTTATCTTCTTCTAGGTCTGCCGTGGGAGACCTTTACAACCGCGAACAGGTTTTTTTTTAGCCCGGTTCTTGATATTTGTTTTGTTACTCCCTTCGGCCAATTAATTTGTATTGATCATCGTTTGTGCTTCAATTCAAGAATTCTGCGAAGAAGCGCAGAAGAATTGGGAAGGACGATATGGGACTGGAATACTCGGGTTGCAGAAAGGACCAGTTTCGAAGGTGTTACACAGTACACACCTTTTAATTTATTTGTTGATCCCCCTTTTTATCTTGGAAAGTCTTTGTTTTTGTTGTCTCAATTTTTAGATTTTTTATTTATTGGGATCTTGGCGTTGTGAAATTAGGTGCTCTAAGATGACAGATGAGTTGGGCTTGAATGGTTCACATTCCTGCAGTGAAACGTGTAACTTCGAAGTTTGCAAGAGGCAAAAAACGGAATCCAGGGTACTGTTTGACTACTTTGCCTAGGAAAATCAAATAGATCAATATCTCATCATAATCTTGCTGTTTATAGTTTATAAATACTGTCGAGTTTATGTATAATTATCTTGCATGCCTGAACAAAATTTTTATGAGAAACACCTAATTTTCAACTTTTTTAAAAAAAAAATTCTGCTAGAGATTTTGAAATTAATCACTAACTAATTCTTCTCAGAGCATTTAATGGGTCCATTATTTTTTTAATGGATCTTGGTTTTTCTTTTTAGGAAAGATATATGAGATTCTCTGGTATGAAAATATCTACATCACAAAATCATCTTGCAAAAATGTTAGAATTTTCACCAATTACCATGACTTTTACAGAAGCAAGCAAAGGGCCAATTTCATCTTCATATATGAATTTTACTTTCTGAGTATTTATTTGAATTCACTTTAGTAATTATTTATTTTGTCATCAAATCTCATCACTAGTCCAGATTGTATACAACAAAAATGTGGGGCTATTGGCATGTAGATCACGTGTACATTTGATTTGATCGAGAAATATGACTTTGCAAATATGCACATTGTTAAATCAAAATTATATTGATATTACCTAGTAATTAGATGTTTTCACGGCTGCTCTATAAGTCTAATTAAGCAATGTTTATCTGTAAGATTCAATGGTTGGCATGCATCTTATTTCTGGTTCATTTTCAGATTCCTTGCACAGATGATAAGCTTCATAAAGTTGAAAACAGCTATCATGTGCTTAGTTTTCTGCTTCCTTCTTTGAAACAACTAAATCAAGAGCAAGACGCTGAAAAGCAAAAAGAGTCAAACATTCAAGGTTCTGCATTTTATTGATTTTCGATAGAAATTGTTTATAAATGAAAATTTGCTAAGATATTCTTTTTAAATTTTGTTTGTCATTAACAGGTTTGAAATTATCTGAGTTGAGGATAGAGATGTCTGCTTGTGAAAAAGATGAGAGAGCATTTTGGTAGTAAAAATTCTTCATCAAGTTTTTTTATCTAATTGAATCTTATTACGGCTAAAGTATTTTGTATTTTTGGTGCAGCAACTATTGCAAAACATCTATTGTCGATCTTCATAGAAGCTGTCCTAGTTGTGAATTTGAATTGTGCATTACTTGTTGCAAAGAGATCCGTGAGAACAACCTTTCTTGTGCAGAAGAAGTGCTTCCTCTTACGAATAGAGGATATGACTACATGCATGGCGGAAAACCTACAGAAAGTTCTTTCGCCAAACATGAGGATCAAGATAATTTAATGCACTATTTTAATGAAGTTGCTATGTGGAAGGCTGATCAGAGTGGTGAAATTTATTGTCCACCAAAAGAAGTTGGAGGATGTGGCAAGGCTGTCTTGAAATTAAAGCGTATGCTTCCAGAAGGTTGGACCTCCGAACTGGAAGCCAAAGCTGAATACTTGGTAGGAAGATTCGGATTACTACAGTATTCTATTACAACTGAACATGCTAGCTGTAGTTGTTCAAGTACAGGTAAAAGTTCTAGAAAAGCGGCTTCCAGGGAAGATTCTACTGACAACATTTTATATTGTCCACATTCAAGTTACATTGATAAAATTGAATTTAAGCATTTCCAAAAGCACTGGGCTAATGGTGAACCAGTGGTTGTGCGTGGGGTTCTTGATGAGAATTCACAATTAAGCTGGGAGCCAAAGGCTATGTGGAAGAATATATGCAAAAGCAAGATTAGTTCTGAATCAACTCAACTTCAAACTATTGATTGTCTAGCTTTGTGCAAGGTAAGCCCAGTTAATCCAGCATTTTTGGTTCTATTTATGCTTTCTATCTCCTGTAACTTGAATCTGTGCTTCAAAATGCAATTATTCAATTTTTGTTAGTTCAAGATATTTAAAACAGCTGTTAATGGCGATAATGTTATTTTGACCAAGCTGATCTCGTTACTTCAGGTGGAGATTAAGTGTGATGAATTTTTTGAGGGCTACTTTGAAGGACGAATATATGACAATTCCTGGCCAGAAATGCTAAAACTGAAGGATTGGCCTTCATCAACTCATTTTGAGGACTGTTTACCGTGTCATGGGGATGAATTTGTCAATTCACTGCCATTTCAGGACTACACAAATCCCCGAATGGGCCCTTTAAACATTTCTACAGCTCTCCCTGAGGATATCTTAAAGTTGGACCTGGGGCCAAAATCATATATTGCATATGGAATGAGAGAAGAACTTGGCAGGGGAGATTCAGTTACCAAGCTTCATTGTGATGTTTCAGATGCAGTATGTGAACTTTTTATGATGTCATTAATATTTATTATTGTTTAGTTGCTGAAGAACTGTAACCCATCTCATAAACATTTCAAATGGGATGTTAATTTCGCACAGGAAAATGACGATCAAGAGAGTGTATTTGTTTAATTTTTTTGTCCAGTTTGAATACTGCATTGTTACTGTTTAAGTATTAGAATAATTCCTAATTACAGTCTTTCTATACAGGTAAATGTTTTAATGCATGTTGCCGAGGTCTTGCCTTCTGAAGAACAGAAGTGCGCAATAGAGAAGTTGAAGAACTTGCACAGAGATCAAGATGAAAGAGAGCAATTTAATAGCATTCATAGCAAAGAGACTGGCAACAGGATGGAGGAAATATATGCCGATGGCTTTCTTGAGCAGAGGAAAGAAAATGACCAGGATGATCAAATCCAAGACGGAGGTGCTTTGTGGGACATATTTCGGAGGGAAGATGTAGAAGCACTGAAAGCATACCTTAGGAAACATTCAAAGGAATTCCGCCATACTTATTGTTCACCGGTTGAACAGGTTGGTATGCTTATATCCTTCAATTTATGGATTTATCGGATTAACAAGGTAGATTATCTTTTTCAAAAATACCAAAATGTGCATTATAGGTATTTAATCCAGTCCATGATGAGGTGTTCTACCTAACACGGGAACACAAAAGGAAGCTCAAAGAGGAATTTGGTCAGTTGTGAATCTGTGTTTGATTTATTCTTCCTTTCTTCTTATTTGAAACACTCGTAACTTTTAGTTGGCCGTCTGCTTTTGCAGGGATAGAGCCATGGACATTTGTTCAAGAGCTTGGAGAGGCAGTGTTCATCCCTGCGGGCTGTCCCCACCAAGTGCGCAACCTTAAGGTATATGATTTATATTCCATATTCAGTTTTCAAAGATCAACTTAGGCACTTATGTATTGTTTCTGCTTGCATATTTCTTATTAATTTATGGCGAATTTCCTACAGTCTTGCACAAAGGTTGCCCTTGATTTTGTCTCTCCTGAGAATGTAAGGGAATGCTTGCGCTTAACTGGGGACTTCAGATTGCTTCCCAAAGAGCACAGGGCAAAGGAAGATAAGCTAGAGGTAACGTCAACTTATCTTACTTCTTTTCTGTCTTTTCAGTTCTATAGTATGATTTATGGATATCAAACACAAAATTTTCTGGAACTTAAACCCCTCAAAGGTAATGCTGCATTATGGGATCTTCTCGGGAATTTAGGTTAAGTTTCATTTATTTGATATCCTTTATATGTTTAGGGCTAGTTTAGTCACATACAAACAACAACAACAACATCAAGCCTTTATCCCACTACGTGGGGTCGGCTACATGAATCCTTTTTCTCCATTGTGTCCTATTAAAAGCCAAATTCTCGTTTAAATCTAATAAAGAAAGGTCATTCCTAATATTTTCTAACCAAGTCTTTTTAGGTCTACCCCTACCTTTCTTAACACAAGTCAAATCTAATACCTCTACTCTCCTAACCAGGTCATCAGAAGGCCGCTATTTTATGTGACCAAACCATCTAAGGCGACCTTCTCTAATCTTATCTTCTACTGGACAAATTAAATGACATACATTGTACTATATGTTATGGCCACTTTTTATTTAAATGGAGGAAAAAAAGGTTTTTCTTCACTACAATCATTTAAATCCTTCTTTGTTCTTCTATAAGTTTCTACTATTTGCAATGGCTAGTGGAAAGAGCTCAATGGCTCTCATATGAAGTTCTTCCCCATGTCTCGTTGATCCTCGCTTCCCTGAAGTGGCTAATGAAGAAGCCTATCATCATTATAAGTCTATCGGGATCACCCCTTCCAAAATCATAAATCAGGAAGTCATGAACTTCTAGGTACCCAATCTCTTTTTGTCGCACTACCCTTCAATTCATTCTTACTCATGCCTTCCCATTGAACTCTGAACTCCTCTTAGAATTTTTTACTAGCCTTCATATAAACAGTGAGGGCACTGCCCTTTAATCTTATAACAATAGAAGGCCCATAGAGATCACCTATCAAGACTTTGACCAAATCCTAAAGTTTTCTACCACCGATGAAAAAGTTCATTCTTTAGCATTTTGTCAAGTTTTGAGTGTAGAATTTGTTAATATTGAGAATCAATGTCAAGACAGTGTCAAACTTTAATGTTGAGATGGTTTTGAAATGTCGATGTTGTAACGACATCAGATGTCAATGTTGAGATGACATGAAGCATTATTGTGAAACCAAAATTGTGACCCTGCCAAAAAGAAATGAAAATGAAAATATTTGATGGATTAGTTATTGAATGCGGACAATTGATTTGGTTATGGATAAAAAAGAACAAATTTAATTTTATATTTTAAATAAATAAAAATTTTAAAAATGAGAATATATATAAGATATGCATGTCCAATTTGTATTTAATAATTTTTTAATCAGACATGTTTTCGGCATGTGTTATGTCCGATACGTGTCGGAGGTATGTCGGGCGCGTGTTGTGTCCGATACATGTTGGACACTTCACGCCTCTTTGAGAAGAAATGTCAGTACATAGGTTGGATGAAAAACAAATCCAATGTAAAGTAAATGCAGTGTATTATTGGAATTACCAAACGAGCTATATATAATTCTTCTTTTAAAAAAGTTCTAAAATTACTAATTATTGCATTTTAAAATTGTAATGAACATAAAATATTATATTATATTAGATTTACTACATTTTTGTATCAAATTAGAATCGAGCTCCTAATGAGCTTCTTAATGAACATGTTCACGAGCTTTAGACGACGTTGCTCATGAACATAAATGAATCGAATACATAGTTGTTCAAGCTTATTTATTAAAAAATCTAGTATTTAAGAAAATGTTCAAGTTGATTTGATTACTTAATTAAACGATCATGAACAAGCTTTTATCGAGCTTAGCCTCGAGTAACTTATCGAACGCTCGGAATGATCGAGTTGATTGTGGGTCGGATTGATTGTCAAGAATGGTGATAGGAGCCCCTGGGGCTCTTGAAGCTACTATTGATAACGATGGAGAGACATTATTAGTGGATGCAACACAGCTTGTGAAGTGGAAGACTCGTATCACCTTGCTTTAATTGATACGTCAATCACTCAACGTTCCGCCAATGTTCTCTCTGCCATTGCCATTGCCATTGCCATTGATTTGGTCGATCTCTTATCTTTTGCAAAGAATATGCCTTTTGTCTCTCAAGTAATCGAGTTTCGTAATATGCCTTTTGTCTCTCAAGTAATCGAGTTTCATAACTTCCTGATGCTAATATGAACTTAAATGGCTTAACTAATTTTGCTTTCCGATTCTGCTTAATAAATTGTCTTTTAATAGCCCTGGAAGGGTTTTTGATGCAACCAAAATTTAAACATTGCAAAGAATTAGATCTTTTTTTCTTAAAACATAAATATATGCAAGATCATAACTTAAAAGACATTTTTTATATATGAACACTAAACATGACACATCGACGTGATTACATCCTTCAACTTACAAAATTTTTTAGAAGAAAGATACAGATGGGACGGGAACCGTGGATAGAGGAAGAGATAGAAGACCGAGATGAAATAATAGAGGGGAAGGAAAAAGGAGATTAGCTCGCAAACTAGAGAAAACCTGCGGTTTTACATTCCATAAATTATCACTCAAAAACTTCTTTTTCCAGCAGGAAAATGGCCACTATATATAGGAAAATAAAGGAGAAGAGTAATTAATGCATGAAATTAGGGCACTACACATTTAGCCAATAGGAACTCCTTAAAGAAATAGAATACAGGGATCGAAAGGGCATCAACCAAAAGGGGGAAACTGAAGCGTCACACGACGGCCAAAGGGGGGGGGACCAAAGTATCAACAGGGGGAGAATCTGAAGCATCAAATGATGGTCAGGGGGCCCCAAAATTTTGCCTACATCAATTCTCTTCTTGTGGAGAGATCTCATCCCCCTGACAAGATAGCTTCAGAACTTCCATTTTGAGCTGATTGAGCCATATCTAATTCATGTATTAATGCAGCATACCTTCTTTGGATCATTTCTTTTTCTTGATTAAATTGGGCTTGAAGTATACTTTTTTTCTTCGCATATTTTTTTGCACATAAATTTATTTTTTCCTGAACTTTGTATAGTTCGTTCTGGATTGGATTAGTATAACTTTCTTGTGGTGAAACCCATATGGTTGTTGGAATTATCTCTTCTAGATTAGTTGGCTGATTTTCACCAACTACAGATTCTATTTCATCTTGATTTGGGACCTCAGCTTGTTGATGAATGTCCTTTTTGAAAAAAAAAATGAAAAAATGAAGATTCATAAAAATCTAAGGCTCTGATACCAAATTGATGCAACCAAAATTTAAAGATTGCGAAGAATCATAACTTCCTTTCTTAAAACATAAATATAAACGCAATATCACAACTTAAAAGACACTTCTTATAAATAAACATTAAACATGACACGTCGACGCAACTAAACCATTCAACTTACAAAATTTTTGACAAGAAAGATACAGATAGGGCGAAAACCGTGGATAGAGAAGAAGAGATAGAAAACCGAGATGAAAAAATAGAGAATGGAAAAGGAGGCTGGTGGCTCATAAACTAGAGAAAACTCGTAGATTTTACATTCCACAAATTATCACTCAAAAACTTCTTTTTCCTGCAGGAAAACAACCAATATATATGGGAAAATAAATGAGAAGAGTAATTAATACAGGAAATTAAGGCACCACACAATTAACCAATATGAACTCCTTTAAAAAAAAGAAAATGGAGACTTAAAGGGTAGCAGTCAAAAGGGGGAAACTGAAGCATCATACGGCGGCCAAAAATTGAATTGCTTTTTGGCTCGGATTGAGCTAATGAGCTAAGTCATAAGCCAAATTTTTTGCTCGATTTGATTTTAAGCTACAAGTGGATCGATGAGCATACTCAAAATTAGATTGAAAATAGTGGGATAAAGGCTTGTTGTTGTTGCATAAAATTTAATTTATACATACTATATTTTTTAAGTTTAACCAATGAGATATGTTGTCAACTAATGAGATATGTTGTCAGCTAACTCTTGTCATTGAAGCTTGCATATGCTTATTGATTATTTGCCGATCATCGTTGCTTGTTGATGACACTAACATCGACCAACTAAAGACTCTCTTAGGTTTTGTTTGGGATAACTTTCATATTGTTTATTAAGGCTTCGTTTGTTTTTTTTGGTGCTTTTGTAAAAGACGGTTTTAAAAAACATTAGTTCGGAAAATGGAGTTTTCTAACAGAGAAACATATATAAAAAGCTTTCTCAAAACTGTAGAAAAATGAAAAAAAACAAAAAAAGAGTTATTGGAACATGATTTGACGAACCAAACAACACAAAAAAAAATTTCCTCCGTTTCCAAAAACGGAAAAGGCAAAAAAACGCTCAAACAAACAAAGCCTAAAAAAACGCTCAAACAAACAAAGCCTATTTTTTAGTAAAAAAAAATTAGTTTAAAATTTTTTTATGCTAAAAAAATTGCTTTAAAAATCAATGAAAACTGTCCTAAATGAAACCCTATCCATCATCAAAATTATATTGCTTCTCCAAAACTTCCTAATTCACTATATAATATTATTTTTCTCAAATTGGGGAGCAGAGCTTCATTAAATTTCACTAATATTATAGATTATTTCAATATTGCTGGTCTTCACATATAAATTTCTTGTATTTTTTTTTGAAAATTTTATTATCTATGTTTGCTAATTTTTATCCAATATCAAGGCATCAAATAGTCATTCAACCTTCTCAAATCCTTAGTATAAATATAGATGCATTATTTTAGCTCTTCAAACCTTGCTTTTTTCAAACCCTTTTTCGCTCACATTCCATGCAATTAAGCGCAGCCTAAACCTTCAAAGCAGCTGGTCTTCTCACGTCAGGTTTGTTTGATTGTTCCTTTATATATATATATATAATTGCAATTTTCTTCATAGCTTTTTATAGATAAAACAATTAAGGACGTCTTTGAAACGATTGCAACGTTTTATAAAGTCAGTTGTGAAGTTATTGTAGAGAAATTAATTTCATTATTATGGTGGTAGGAATAGTTTGTCATCATAAAATTTTCTAAAAGATAGTGAGAAAATCGTAAAAAATAACTGCCAAATGAAATTTTGGTTGTTATCTGAAAAGCAAAGCAGTTAGAAATTTGTTCCAAATAGATCATAAATGTTGTAACGGTTCTTCTTATGTTGGCTTATTTTCACAACTTATTTTCAAGGTTGTGAAAATTGAACCATACAACGAACCGAAAGGAGATATTCACGGCTCAACATATCGTCATGGTCGAACCGGATGATGCAATAAATAATATTATTATTAAAAATTAATAAAATTAACATAATAATGATATTATCATCTTAAAAATAACATAAAATTAAACTAAATAAAAAATTATGAAAGATAAAACTTAAATTTTTTTTTAAAATCTCACATAAGAGAAAAAATTTCAAATCACATAATTTTAAGAATTTACACTCATAATAAAGTGATAATTTTAAATTTAAATATTTTTTTATTTGTTAATTTGATTTTAAGTCTAAATTTAATTTATATATAGCTTTTTGAATTTTCTTATGTATAGGGCTCACATGGAGTTGTGTGGGTTCATGTTAAGATGCTTTATGGTGATTTAGGGCAAAATAAATATAGTAAAAATTTCATGTTAATTTAAAATTAAATACTTTAAATATAAATTAGTATATTTATTTGATAAATTATTTAATATTTAATCTTTAGGTATCAAATTTCTCATCTTCTTTATGTGAATAATGTTCTTGTATTTGGCAAAGCTTCCTTGCTCTAATTGCCAAGTGTTGAATGGCATTCTTCTTACCTTTGCTAACTCTTCTGATCTCAAAATTAATCATGAAAAAGTTCCATTATTATGCAAGTCAATACTCCCTATCTTAAAGAGATTTGTAATTCTCTTCAAATTCATAAATGCTGCACGAGCTTCATTTACTTGGGCATCCTCATATCTATCAAAAGAACCCTCATATCTCAATTCTCCCCTCTCTTTGATAATATTTCTAACCTGCTTTCCGGATGGAAAGCAAAGTCTCTCTCTTTTGCAGGTAGGCTTCAATTTCTCAGATTCACCATTTGGAATATTATTGCATAATGGATCCGCAGGGCTATTATACCTAAAAGTTGTTATAAACAGATAGCTAAACTCTATGCTAAGTTCCTTTTCTTTGGTGATATCAATGCTAGAAAGATTCATCTTGTATCCTGGGCTAACACGTGCAAACCCAAGAATAAGGGAGGTTTGGGTCTGCCTTCATTTCAAGTTATTCGCTATGGTTTTGACTTTTCCCTTATCATTAGAATTTACAATTGGGCATCCCCTCTTTCGACTTGGTTTTTCTCCAATTACTGTTCTCCTTGGAAAATTCCCCCACCCCCATTAGCTTAAACTGGGATCACTGGTGCATTGGGCTTTGTATTCAAGAGATTCAACATCACCATGCTCTAACTAGGCTCTTTCTCGATAATGCTCCTCTGGCTAAGCTTTTTGACTCGGATGGCTGGAGATTTTCGGCTATTTGCCCTGTTGATATTCAATATCTTATTGCCTCTATCCCTATTATCTATGACGGTAACAGCGATTTATTTTGGGGATCTGAGTGCAAGCCTAGGTTTGGGAAATTTATTCAAGATTTTTATAAACATGATGGTGAGGTCTCTTGGTGCAGTTTTGTTTGGCATAAACATTATGCTTTAAGGTTCTCTTCTTATGTTTGGCTTTGTTTTGTTGGTGGGTTGAAAATTGTTGATGAATTACTTAAAAGGAACATTGTCGTGGATCCCAGATGTGCTTTCTGTCACTCAAGTCTTGAAAGTGTATCACACCCCTTCTTTGAGTGTGACTACACCTTTAGCACTATTACTATTCTGATTCCGCCTCTCAACATTTTTCTTTTGAGACCTATTCTTAGCCAGATCATTGAATTTTTCTCTGGTTGGAGCTATTTGGGAACTGGCAGGCTGGCTTTTTTTCTCCTGGTTTTATGGGCCACTATTTATTATACCTGGAGGGAGAGTAATGATAGGAAATTCACCAATTGCGTTAAAAGTTCTTCGACTATTCAAGTTTTGATTAAAAAGGTTGTGACAATTAAATTACATAGATGAAAGAATGGGGAAGATTTTGAAGCTATGATATAGCTTCTCTTGGAGTGGTTTTTTGCTTGTTTGAGGCATGTTCATGTTGGCCCTATTCGGTTACTTTGTATGCCTGCTTTTGCTGGTGTTTTGCTAGGCGTTTTTGTTTGTTTTGGGGATGATGATGTTCAGATTGCATCCTCTCCCCCCCCCCGGATGGTGACTCTTGCAACAAATTTTTATTTGATGGCATATCTGGCAATAGGGGATTTCGATTTTCGAGGGTGTATCTCTGACTATGCTGAGCCCGATTGGTTTCATCTCCCCCTCGTCTTCTGTTGTGGTTTTTCGTGGATTCTTGGCTGGGCTTTTTCTTTCAAGTCTGATTTTTTGGCTTAGTTTCTTTTGACATGTGTATTTTTGCACCTATTTGGTGGTCTCTTTCTGGCTACTTCCTATTGCTCTTTCCTATAATTTTGTATCTTTTTTTGTTTTTTTCTACACATGTAACTAGTTTTTATTTAATGAAATTTGGGCATTGCCCACAATTTTCCAAAAAAAAAAAATTATCTAATTATTTGAAAAATATGGTAATTGAACATGCCAGTTCAAAAGAATTGAAGCCGGTTCACCAGTTGAATCGGTGATTCTGACCTTTATGGCTTGATAAATCAAACAATGAAGAATATCTAAATAAAGAGAATTCATTTTATACATGAAGTAGAATGCAATTGCAATTAGAGAGATTTTTAGACGAAAACAATCGAAGGCATCTTCATCATCGAAATTTTTTCCTGCAAAATAAAATAAATGATAAAATGAATTATGCAAATAAATTTCATTTTATTGTTAAAAATATAATTACAATTAGAGAGATTTTTAAGTAAAAAAAAATTGAGGTATTTTTGGCATCCAAAGTTTTCCTGCTGCCGTAGAAGTCCTGCAAAAAGTTGATATAGTTTTCTCGTCGAAACTTGATATGATCTTTTCGTCGTCCCAATACTACCATTGCGAAGGAATTGTTAGGAGTAATGTGCCAGATCATCTTCGCAGCACCATATAAATATGAGAGATCGTAAATGAATAGAAAGAGTTTTAAATAAGGTGATAATGAAAAGATAGAGTTTAATTTAATTTTTATATAATAATCATAAATTTAAATTTTAGGATTTTAGATTCATCATAAATTTTTTTTTTTTTTTTTTGAACGAGAGTATCGGCTCGCTGTCATGTCAGCTTGTGACGCGCTTAACGTTGTCCACTAATCCATCGGCGAGTTTGCCAGCAATCAACCCCACAGGTGCAGGACTCACAGTTATTTTCTCTCCATTTAAGGAGTCGTGCTGTATGAGAGGGGATTCGAGCATGGGATGTGGGGTTCCCAACAAAGCATGCCCACCAATCCACCTAAACCCGGTGGGGTGATTCATCATAAATTTAAGGACTAGAATTCTATATAAAAAGATTTATAAATCAGTTTTATAATAATAATTCAATATTCATACATGTCGTGTTATGTACTTTTGAGCAACTCTAATGGGAATCCAACAATTTCATTCGTTCTCCTCTTCCCTCTTTTGTATTTCGTTATGTGGAGCTTCCATTCGAATCCTCACCCTCATGATGGAGTAATTATTTTGTCCGGACACCGAATGCATCCATAGATCAATAGCAAAACGCCACGTCACTCAAGTGCTCGGTATCATGCTCGGTACCGTGCTCGGTACAGCACTCGGTACCGCGCTCGGTACACTCGGTATGCTAAGTATTTTAACCGGATGTAAGGAAGGAAGCTCATGATGAGGGGTAAAAGCCCCCATTATGAGGCTACAGAATATCGCTCCTTATATCCTTCCAATTTGTGGTCGGCTTCACGAAGCAGAGCAATTGGATCCCCGATTATATGAAAGCTGATGTAATTATATTATTTTTTAAACTAATGTTGAAATATGACCTTATATTTATGT